AATAAGAAAAATGAAATGTATATTTATTTATTTTTACATCAGAATGTTTAACTTTGAAATCATAATTATTTGCACAAAAAACAGAAAAATTTGATTTCTTATAATAAAAAAGGTTTTAATTAAAAAGAAATGTGAGAACATAGCCCAGATTTCAATAGTCGAATAATCTAATAATAGAAAGAATTAAAACAGTAGAAGAGAAATTTCACCAATAACGTATACCGTGTATATAGAATGATGAATCCATGATGAACAATTACACATTACTCGAACGAATAAGCTTGAGAGAGAATTTCTATTCTACGTGCTCTACAGAGAATAATATGCGAAAACAGAATGTGTAGAGACTTAGACAGCGGATTCGGCCATCTCAACCTATATTTATAGGACAGATGTTCGAACTGCCTAATACAATTAGGAAGCAGCTTATGAGACGTGTGAGCTTATTAGAGAACATTAAGATTGAGCCTAATTCTCTCTCAGCTAATCTAATTAAATACAAAGACTCATTAAATATTTTACAAATAAATTGAACACAATAAATAATATTCTAACATTCTCCCCCTTTGTGTTCAAATGTCGATGAGGCGCTAATTATCTTTGAGTCTTTGACAATGACTTCCGATAGCCAAGGATGACTTCATAATGTCTGAGAGTCCTTCTGAATTCAAGTCTGAATCCTATGGCTTCGGCAAAATCTCCAATGAGAGCGATCTGGATCGGGTCATCTGGATTTTCTGATTTCTTCAAGTTCAGCGCGGCTTCTTCTAGATGTTCTTCTATTTTCTTGAGCGTACCATCACAATACTTATGAGTTTCTTCCAAGAGCAGGATCCGCTTGATGCCTTTGTAATCTCTGTAGACGAGTCCTGTCTCCGGATGGGTAATGATGGTGCCTTCTTCAAAATTCTCGATCCATGGAGCTCTATTTCTCGGAGCAGTCATATTCACTTTCGGAAAATTGTTTTCAATGGCCATTTGCAGATCAAATAAAGAATAATATTTGACTTGTCTCATCATGAACCTCTTGATTGCATTCAGGCCTAGATCTCTATCTTTTTTGTGGTAGATCCCTCAGAGTGATGAATCTGTACTCATAGAATAATTGTATCATATCTTTTGTAACAACGTGGTACAGATCAACTTCAGAAACTCTTTGGATCATGCGTTTTGTCTTTCAAACTCATACACTGGATATCTCACGAAACCACAATTATAAATCTCTACAGCTTTAATCCCTATGATCGGAGAATCAGAATGCTTCACTAATCTTTTTCGATGTCCATACGGGTCATTCTGATCAGCTGACATGTTGCGTATCATCCATATGTGTCCGGAGGCATCAGTTCCTTTCAAGTGTTCCAGTCCTCTTAGCTCAAGCTCGTCTATCTTCTTGATCTTCTTCTCATTTCTCCAAATTCTTGGTCTCAGATCCTCTTGATATGGAACAATGATTTTGACATTCTCCCAGGGTGTCTCGACCTTGTCTTCTATCTTGGGTTCCTTGGGGTGTCTTTTGATGAGATGTTTCACATGATTGAAATCAGGTAGAGGATCATCATAGAATTCGCCTTGAGCATACTCTTCAGGTTCCAGCTCCATGAGATCTTCACCAGCTTTCTTTTTCAGTTCACGAATGTAATTCAGCTTGGTGAGGGCTTCTTCATTGTTTAGATCTTGGAGTTTCTCCTTCTCATCTTCTTCAACCCATTCAAGCAATAGCAGGTCAGCGGCAGATGGACCTTTAACTTTTTCGGATGTATCTCGCTGTGCTTTTCTCTTTGCAACTCTTTTCTTTGATGATGTGGGTTTAGAAGATGAAGGGATAATAGTTGATGCAGCAGATGTTGCCAATTGGGATTGTGGAACCTGTGGAATAGAAACCAGAGGGACAGAGGGTAAAGTAACACTGGAGTCACGGAGACTTACCGTTTTCATCATACTAGAGACTAGCTCGTTTTGACAGCCTGAAGACAATGGTGATAGCGATGTTGCATTGTCAGGACTTCCTTCCAATCCTTGGTCAACATCCATGAAGGATGAGCCTATAGAAGTTCTCGAGAGGACACAATGTCCTGGCTCAGTGTTTAGGGGCACAAAAGGGTGAAAAACGGTTAAGGCTAGTGAGTCATGAGGTGTGGTAGAGGATGAGGGTTCAGGTTGAGAAGATGTAGAAGGTTCAGAGCTTGTGGAAATTGGAATGAGAGATTGTGATGTGGTTTGCTCACAAGTATGTTGCCTTTTCTCCCCCTCATGATGATCCGAGTCATCACGGCATGATTTCACGACAAGCGTTCTTGATCACGACAAGCGTTCTTGATCACCGAGTCATCATGCTTATGCTTAGGCAAGCGTTCTTGATCACGACATGAGGTGGATGGGATGTAAGGTGGGGCTAGGGCTAGGATTTCACGGACTTATTTAAGATGGGGAGGAATGTTGGGTTCGGATAAGAGTCTGTCAAGGAAGTACTCAGATAGGTCAATGATGTTCATTTGGGTTGGGTCAGGGTGAGAGGTGGATGGTGTGGATATGGTGGATGTGGGTATGATGGTAGTGGGTGTGGTAGTTGATGGAAGAGTTCCTATGGAGGGAGTTGGGTGTGATCTTTGGTCTACTACGCCTGTTGGGTCTACAGATGGGTTCACTGATGGGTTCCCTTTGTTGGGTTGAAACAACCATCTGTTGGGAGATAGTTGAGTGGTCTAAGCTTGGCTCATTTTGCGCTATTGAACTCGATGTAGCGACTTCTACTCGGGAACTGAAAACGTCAGAACCTGTACTTATGGGTTGAGTTTGAATTGTTGTAGTGAGTGGGATTGATGAAGCAATAATAGTGCTAGAGGAGGAGACATCACCTCTCTTGGACTGAGTCTCACCTGCCTTGTTTTTTGTCTTAGTCACTCTCGGACCCTTACTTACACTCAACTTCATCTTTTGGGTAGGTTCAGTTAGGTTTACTAAGCCATTGAGACTTATCTCTCATTGATCTCTTTGCTCCCCCTCAATAGGAGCACTCAATAGGATGCATTTGACATTGTTTGGCGTCGGAGGAGAAATTTGACAACTCCCCCTCAAAAGGTGCATCCTTGAGTTGATTCTTGCATCGATCATTGTGTGGCGTCAGGAGGAAATAGAGATGTTCCTCCTCATAATTTGAAAGTATTGTTGTTTGTCATATGGGGAGTAAAATAGGAAGCTCCCCCTTGGAATGTGATTTCTTCGTTGTATGGCACCAGAAGAAGTGAAAAAGAAACACTCCCCCTCAGAATATGCACTTTCTGTTTGGTCTTCGCGTGTGTTGGTGTTGATGTGTGCATTTGTTGATTTTCAACTCAGTGGGAGTATACACGCTAGTACTCTCCTTCATAATGTGCACACTTGCTCCCTTAAAAATGATTTGTCTTGAATAGGGGCACTGAGAGCTTTTGTTGAACATGTATGGAAGCCCAGAAAAAGATTTATTCATCACCCCCTTGACGTATGATATGTCCTGCGTTTGTGTATGAGTTCTGAATTGAGGTGGTCAAAAGCCTTTCTGATGTAGTGCGGGTTCTGAGCTGATTTACTCAGAAGCCAAATTGTAGTGTGGGTTCTGAGCTGATTTACTCAAAAGCCAAGATGAAGAGCGGGTTCTGAGCTGATTTACTCAGAAGCCAAGTTGTAGTGTGGGTTCTGAGCTGAGTTACACAGAAGCCAAGTTGGGGTGCGGGATCTAAGCTGTTTTACTTAGAAGCTAAGTTATAGTGCGGGTTCTGAGCTGAGTTGAATGATCGTAAGGCGATAACTGTTCAACAAAGATGAATTCAGAAGGCGAGATTTACGAAATAGAATCCAGCTGAAATGGAACAGAAAGGAAGGCGGATCAAGGGTTGTAAACGAACCGAACCGAATACGAATTCAACTGAAATGGAACATAATGGAAGGCGGATCAATATATTCTGTTACGAATACGAATTTGAATATGAAACGAATATTTATTTCGATTTGTATTTGTTTAACAATAGAATAGTTAACGAACCATGTACGAATATCGAATTGATTTGAGCATAAGTTAAGTATTAGTCAAATTACACTTTAAATAACTTTTCTTATATTTTTTATGCTATAAATGCATGCTATGACTTAATATGTGTTTTTAGAATTTAATTTTCAACATTACATTTTCTTAACATTTAATAGATGAATGCATTTTTAGGTTGTGCACATCAATATACTAAAGTAAATCAATTTTATGATTAATAAATATAAATCTATTTCAAACTTTTACACTAACACACATATTAGAAATTATACTTATAATGTGTGAAATAAATTGATAATTTTATACATCAAAGTCAAATTACTCTAAATTTATGTTTGATATTAATTGGCATAGTTGCTAATCAAAAAACAAATAGATATACAAAGTATAGTTTATACTATACACACACAGATATATTGGGTAGTTCATGCACACACATGCATATTAGGTAGTTGATTTTGTATATGTAAAAACAAATATATTTGATTATTCTTCGAATCGAATACATAATTATATGTATTCATATTTGAAAGATATTTGAACAAAAAATCTGATTTGTACTCCTATTTATATTCTATATTTTCACATTTAAATCATAAATTTTGAGTTCAGTTCTCGAATCGAATTAAAATTATTTGTTTTGTTTACAACCTTACTCCGTATGATACTTCTTATTTATTACAAACATGCTTGGAATTTGTATACGTAAATGTACATGTGGGCTACACTTTGAGCGTATAATTATCTTTTAAAAATTATTATAATGTTATTACTATTATTATTATTATTATCATTATTAATAATAGTATCTCTATTATTAATCGAATATATTCGATTAACATTCGAATCAAATACACTCATGTTCTTATTTGATTTAATAACAATTCGAATCAAATATACTATTATTATTTGTATTTGAATTTTTCGAATTCAAATAACGAATCCAATCTAAATTATTTAATTTGTTCACTTAGGCAAAAAGAAAAAGGACGTCAGAGCCTTACAACCACCTATCGGAATTACGATGTCGTTTTGGGCTGTAGATTCTGGTCGTAAGTTAACAACCCCAAAGAACTCAATGAAGCATAGATCCGATCAAATGATGTTTTACCCTGCAATGGATTGGAAGCCTCGCTCTACTTTGAGCTACTTCATCATCATCTCTCTTTTGTCTCTCCACTACCCTGTATGTCTCTTCACATATACAATTGTTGAGCTTTTCTTTTAGTTTAATTAACCAGATTGTGTATTTTTTCCCATATGATCCAGGTTTCTGATGGAGCCTCGGGGGTTTACTTCCTCGACAGTTCCGCTCAGCGGTATGTACGCCCTTCTTCACCGGATGAGGTAATGGATTCGTAACCACATTCATGATTTTCCTGTTAGAGTATTGTTAGCTTAAACCAGTGTTCTCGTGATTGATGTAAGCATTGCGATCACCGATTTGGATGACGAAATTCCTTCTAAGCATGTTTCGCGTATAAAGATTTCTTGAGAAAGTCACGTTAAAGAGGTTATAGGTATATACAATTAACTTTCCGGGTTAACTTGTCGTGCTATGCTGAGTAATTGACTTCCCTTAGCATACTATGCACTTGTTCCCACGCTTCTGTCACTGAACGAATACAGAATTGAAACAACAAGTATTCAGTAGGTTTGTGGGTCATAATTATATTTTAAATCGTTGATGCCAAAGGCAGCACAATATTTTTCTATAATGGCACACATGGCCATGACTCCATGAGCAAAGGGATGTGATTAAGTGACAGTGTCAAACTAGATTTATAGATAAGGGGATAGACTACTTTGATCCATTGCTCTATACTCTTGTTGCAACAAACGTTTGATGCAAATGTTTTAGTTTTTGGATTGTTGACTTGCCAGTCAGACAACTTACCTGTGGTGGAGTTGTTTCATCTTTAATCATTGATGATAGAACAAGTGGATAACTGTTGGATTTAGATTTTATAGAATATTAGGTAGGAAGGGGAGCATTGCTGCACTGGTTACGGTGTTGCCGTGTGACTGAGAGGTAACAGGTTCAAGTTTTGGGAGTGGTCTCTTGTCAAAATGACAAGGGAAGGTTTGCCCCCTATACACCCTTGTGGTGGGACCCTTCCCCGGACCCTCGCCTTGCGCGGATGCCAATGTGCACCGGCCACCGGGCTGCCCCCTTTATAAAATATTAGGTAGATGTTGTTGTTGTATGAAGTATTAGGTGAAACCGTGAAACCCCTTTTGAGATTAAGGCTTGGATGTTTTTGTTGTTTAGAATATTAAGTAGGCCTATGTGGCTGCTATATCCCTTGTCTCGTTGATAGTGTATACCGTTAAACTTTACTGATCCACCAAAACAATTAATAGTCAGTAGTCACTGCTGTATTTATTCAAATTTAGTTTCAATTTCATTACACAATGCTGAGGCCAAATCTTTTTTATATTCAATTGTCTACATTTTGTCTTTTATCCCAGACTTCTTCGATGTCACTTCCAGAAGTAGGTGCTGCTGTATCAGTCTTACTTGGCTTTGCACCTCCAGCTACCCTTTCTGATGAGAGTTCATCTAAGGTAGTAATGCAATTCATATGGAATGTATTCAATCTTTTTCATTGCTTGTTCATTCATAACTTATTTTTCCTTAGTTTTATTTCCTTTTTGCTTTAATAATTGGCAGTTAAATGAAGTGCTTGCACCTAATCCATTTGATAGACCTCGTGCTGTTCTTTTGCTAGAAGTCACAGGAGTTGAAGGTATACGAGCTTGAAATCCTATTGTTTAATCGCTTATTTAAAAATATAAATGGTGTAATGTGTGTAACAATGTAACTATTGTGTGTGTAAATTTGTATGCATGTTTGTGTAGGGTCACATTTTTTGGTTGGTTCAAAGAAATTTGTAAGTACAGCTCACAGGAGAGACATTCTTGGGAATACAAATAAAGCTGACATTCATCTACCAGGTAGCTGTCCATCTCAAATTCTTGTATAAAGAGGATATCCTGTGCTGCATGATATCTGTAATGGTTATTGACTAATAGCTTTAATTTACATTTTCAGGGGAGGAATTTGTATCTTTGCTCACATTGAATGAACCTTTAGATTCAGTAGCTGAATTTTCAGAGAAAGAACTAATTGATTTTGTCAGTTGTTACTATTATCTATTTAGATTTTTTCTTTCCATTTCCATCACTGTCATGTCTTATTTGTTATTTATTTGAAAAATTGACTTTATGTTTAGGCATCATGGTTGCATGGCTCGTATGTAGCTGTTAGTGAAGAACAGTATTCTGGGGAACTGACTATACCTTTGGAGAATGAAGCTGAGTTGAAATTTGACCTTTCAAAGGTATCTTTAAATTTTAGCAGGTTTTAGTAATTTCTAGCCCCTGGTAATATCTCAAATAGTGTTGCTAAAGGTGTTTTTTCATATGCAGAAAGAAGTAAGAGAATTTTTAAGAAGCCTTATTTCATTGACCCTCAATATTCACAAGGCAATGGATCTCCATCATGATTTGTCTGAGAGTGAAAAAAATAGAGCTGAACTTGTTGTTGCAAGATTTGCTGCCATTGAGGTTACAAATATAGTTCTTTATCTTGCACAATCTAAAATTTTGGAGTTTCTTTAGGCTATTATTTAATGAGTTTAAGCTGCTGTGTTTAATATATCATTTTTCTTTATCGTGGTAAGCTTTATCAAACCCCTTCCTTCCAGCCATCCTTAGCAATTTTCCATTCTTAAAGACAGTGCTCATAAGACTTGTAATTATTTCATTTGAAACTTCAATATTTATGTTTCATTTTAATTATTGAAGAGGATAGCTTAAACCACTTTTGAAACGTCACTATTTGTGAATTCTAGCTTCGCATTTCATATTTGATAATTCAAGGTTTTTTGCTTCACTGAATTAAACTACAACTTGTCCAGGCAATTACTAGCAGAAAATAATGCATTTCACGGTACTCAAATGCTAATGGTCTATCGAGTTGACTCACTACTCACTAGTGGTAGGAAAAACAAAAAATAAAGATTTCTTACTCTCTCTGTATTTATCAAAATGTCAAACAAATATTTATGTTATATTCATACATACATCACATATTCATTGTCTGCATCTGTTTTTATACACTCCTAATGAGCCTCAGCCTACTCTATTTTTTCTGTGCAGGCAATGGAAATCAAGCATGGGACAGAAAACGTAGCACAAGCTATGAGACTATCTGTTCATGTCATTTCGAAGATATTTGATTTGTTATGCAATGCATATAAAGGTTATATTTGCTCTTGCATACTTGGCATTGACTTTTCCGTATCGACCAACCTTCATAAATAATAGTCATGTCATTCCTTCTCAAAACATACTCATATTGCATATAGAATAGAGATGCTTTATGCCTTTATCCTTCAAAACCGCAATCATCACAATCATGCTTACACATGCACGCACATGAGTTTTATATGCTTGATTGCAAATAGGTCTTCTTCTGACCTTACTTATCCATGTGATTTTACCAAACAGGGGAAATTGTTGGAGTAGTTGTCTACAATCCAGCATCTGAGCCAATGCTGAATGTGATCCTTGATTCTAGACCGTCGGCGCGGTGGCTGGAGGAAATATATACCCCCATTAATGATACTCTTATTGAAGCTCAGCTACTGGTTAGAAGAACGGTAGCATGGAGCACAGGAATTTTGCTTATAATTGCAACTCTTTTAGGGGTAAGTCATTGAAGGAAAATCCCAATCCTTTGCTACAATGGACTGACAATATGCTTTAGTAGTATTGACAGTATTTGATACTTCAGTAGTCATTATAGCTTAAACCACGTGCTTAAATTAAAAGTTGCTGTTATTGGTATAAATATTTATGCATTTTTCGTGTAGTTGGTACTTATCTCATGCAAAGTAGTATGTATGTTATTTGACAAAATTTCAACTGCAGGTTCAGATACTTTTAATTGTTGAAGGATTTTAATTTATATGAATGTTAACATCTATGACCACATTGGAGCCTGTGCATAGGTCTCCATCTAAAAACTTGCATGAGCAGGTTTCTATGTGTATTTCACTTGTTCAAATAGTCCTACAGTCCTACCATTCTGAAACATATTTTAGCTAGGTATGTGTAATTGTTTATTTGCTACAATTCAATTAACCAATTGAAACAACTTCCTCTAAAAATAATTTTAATTCCATGTTGCTTGCTACGCTTCTATTCAACTAAATTAAATATAGTCTAGTGGAATCTAGAGTTCTATGCAAGCTTATATATACCGCCTCAAAAAATGAAACGAACAAGTCAAATCGTTACGAAGTGTGATCTCTGATTAGTTAGTGCTTCTAGACTTGTGGGAGCTGGCAATCTGCAGTTCTGCACTAAGGTTCTCCTCATTTCAAACTATGTTTTCGGTAATGTTTCAGAAGGAATTTGAGTAACCAAGTGTTAGTTTCACATCTTAATGTGTTCAAGCATATTTTTAATAGCTTTTTAGAATTTCTTTTGGTTTCATTTGGAGATTGAATTACCGCATGAATAAATAAATTTTTAAAATGCATTCATTTTTACGTAGTGTTTTGGAAGTACAGCCGCTTGCCAGACTATCATATGAACAGATTGGTGATTCATGGTGCCATCTTCACCTATTTAGAATACGACATTTTAATTCTGTTTATTTCTAAACAATAGTGCATTAATTATAATCTGTGTCACGTCAGTAATTATAATCTCTCTTGTTATGCAGATTTACGCCCTTCTCAACATGTCTGTCACAAGGGACACCCTTCTGTATTCTAATGTCAAGCTCGACTAAGCTTTCATAAGCAGTGCATTTAGTCATTGGGAAATTTGATGATGCAATCAGACGCCTGATACAAGATATTGTGTTGCTGTGATGCATCTATTACCCTTATATCTACTTTGGCATGTCTATCTCTGCGCAAAATAAAATGATTGCTCTAGTTTTGAGGATGTTAGTTACGCTCTGTAAATTTTTACAGAATCCCTATATCATTAAAGTTGGATACAATGGGAAGTTGGTATGGTAAATGCTTATGATTGGGTTTGGTTATCCAGGGTAAGATGATAAAGAGCCCAGTCTTTTCTTTATCTTTGTTGTGTCATATTAGGTAGCTTATGACTTATGGTCTGGAGTCTGGACTTATATTATCTTGTAATCTAGATCTAAATATTCTTTATTGCAGCCATGCCTGATTTCAATAACTGGTGCCCTATGTTTTTTCTGGCATCTTTGTTCTTACGTTTATATCAATGCTTTTACCTTGTCAATGCATTACAAATTTACAATCTCGTGTCTATGTTTTACTCACATTTCTGCCCTCCAAACAAGGATTATGAATTAGAGAAAATTGTCCAACTCCAACATAGGATCAAAGATTCACTAAATAAGACTAACTTTACCTTTTTTACCCCTAATTCTATTTAATTAAATAATTGATCTAAATAATTGTCCCCTAGTTCTCTTGTATAACCAAGGCAGTCCGGTGGTGGCGGCGAAAATGCTAGCGGACGGCCAGAAAAAAATTCTGGAATTTTTCTGACGGCCGGTGGCAGCAGGTGGTTGGCGGCAAGCAGCAGTCCAGGGCAGCAGTGAGTATTTTGGTCCATTCATAAATAAAAAGTTTTATTTAAGGATGTTTAAACTAATTGATTTTTGAGAAAAAAGCCATGCTTTAGTCCTATTGAGATAAATCTTCCCATGAATTACACTGCTGATTGAAAGTAACACTAAATTTCTCTTAAGCCGTCATTTTTTATTGAAATTATTTTGATTGGAGTAATGATGCATTCTTATCAAGGAAATTTCATAAATAACATAAAACATAACATATAGTTATTTAAGGCTGTTTTTCTTGAAAATTCATTCACTTCTAGATAGGGGTGGATTCGGGCGGGTCCGGGTCCGGGTTGGGCCTAGGTCCGGGCGGGCCGCCGGTTCTGAATAGGTGGGCCCGGGACCGGCCCAGGTAGCTACCAGGTCCGGGCCGGGCCTTGGGTCAATTTTTTTTTCCTTTTCCTAATTAACCCCCCTCCCACCTCCAACCCCCCAAACCACCTCTAATAGCCCAAAATACCCAGCCCAACCCGAAAAGTTAAAAAAAATGAAAAAAATAATTAAAATGCCCGGAATCGGGCCTGAACCGGCCGGGCTTGTTCGGCTTTTGGGTGACCCAAACCCGCATCGGGAACCCCCTGGGCCGGGCCTACCCGGACCGGTCACCGGCCGGGCCACTGGGCCGGGTCGGTTCAGCACAGTGCCGGTTCCGGGTTGGGCCACCCAGCCCGAGTCCACCCCTACTTCTAGAAAAGAATTCTCGTTTTGTTTGAATGGATGAAAAATTCACACCAAGTGTAATTGCATTAGAAGGAGAATCTCAAATTCATAGAAGAAAATGTAATCTCATCTAGATTAAGAGTTTGTGAACCATACAATTACCACTTTGAAATCATAATAGAGGATATCAAATAAAACTCTAGAAAATTATACCAATTGATTTTTTGTATTAGAATATACACGTTCAAACTGTGCAAATTACACCTTGGGATTGATATAGCATGCACATGATATACCTATCTTATGCATATTTAGTAGCCTCTTTCCATATTTATTTTTTACCTATTATAAAGGTAGGTCTATTATGTGCCATTATGAGGTCATCTTTGTAGTAGCCTCTTTCCATATTTATTTTTTATGCGTCTTGTGGTGTTTTTGGGTTGTCTTCCTTTTTTCTTCACGATCTTTCTTGAGTTATCTTCTTTTGGTCGATCAGAGTATTAAGAATCCAAACATAATTTTGCACTTCTTCATCTTCAATACAAGACAAAAATAATGACACGTAAAATAAAGTTGGGGTTAGGAGGTTGTCAACGGGTCATTATGACTCATCTGATAGCTTTTTATAAGTAGACGTACTTATCTGACACTTTATTTAGTACATGACCTTATGTGACGATTCTGTAATAGTAGAAGGCCTTATTTGACATTTTCCCAAATATAAACTATGTCAAATACGTAAATGTAGTGTATTTTTATGTAAGTCATGACTGAAGTGCCTCAATGCCTCGTACTTTGTTAGTCGATAGTAGTATGATTTTCTGAATATTTTACATCTGGCTATTCGAGAGTTTTCCCCAAACTAAGTGATGGGTTATGGGGATCCAAACACATATAATAAACGGAGAGATTGAGCTATGAAAGTGAAGAAGATGATGAATAGTAGAATATTTGTATGGAGTATGAATTAAGAACTAGGGTTACAAGTGGCTCCAAGAGGAGTATAAATAGAGAAATAATGGGTTGGGCCGCTAATATGGGCCCGATAAGCCCAACTATATAAAAGGCTAATAGTCGTGTGTGGGCCGCTGTCCAGGCCCAATAGTCGTGAGACCCGGGGGTCCGAGTCTATATACTCTATCAGGAGTCCCCCGCTCCCTGAGTCGAGAGTACTCGAGGCGAAAGGGAGTAGAACTGTGTGTTGATCTTTCGTCGTCTGGTGAGTAAACTTCGTGAAAATATTTGAGGCGCGAAGTCCCCCGCTCTTCCAGTCCCCCACTCCTTGAGGTGAATGTAGTGAGGTGAAGAGGAGTATAGTAGTGCATGTCTCGTGATGTCTTCAATAGGGACCGAGGGTCAACACTTTTTGTCCACGTTGGGGAGATGCCTCGTTAAAAACCTCATTAGGAAAAAACCCCGTGGGAAAAAATCCTAATGAGGGAACACATAACTCATACGGTGTACTGCCGGAGATTGCAGTTCATTTCCGATAGCTAGAGGGCACACATAACTCATACAAAACATAGAAACTAGAGTATGCATTTGATAACATTTGGATTGGGAGCTTACTATCTACACTCGTTTGACGTGACCCAGTGGTGCAAGATTTTAGCTCTCTTCCGGTGTACGCGAGTGCTCGGAATTCATAAGTCCATTTTTTCAATGTCAAAAAATACACACTATTTAAAAAATAATGATAATAAATTAATAATCTAGTTCAACTCATCACTCAAGTTCGTAGCTGGGATCCGCTAGATGCTATTTACGGGTCTTTTCACGGATGACTCGCCCCTCGAGATTGAAGTTTGATGCTATATTATTAAAGTATTTCATTTATGATTTTTTTTTTGTAAATCATCTTATCAAATTTATTGCTGAAAATTAATAAATGAAAGAAGTTTTAGACCAGAGCACCAAATGAAAGCACCAAATTATAGAGTATTAACTCCTAGAGAGAAGTGAGAGCTAGAGAGAGAAGTGCAGTAAATGTTTTGTATTAATGATATGTGAACCCCCTACAACTACTCCCAAGGGGAGTATTTATAAAGGAAATTAGGGTTGGGCTCCCAAGTCTTGAGCTTGGGAGGCCCATTTACAATTCGGCCACTATTGGGTTGAGTACAAAACATGTAGAAATGATTAAGTACAAAATTGGGTTCTGGGAACCTTTTGAGGCCGACGCGGCCATGGCCGACGGAGCCCCGGCCGACGGGGACACCCGGTTCTCCTTGGCTTCCGAACCATGTTCTGAGTTGATATCTTTCTAGCCGATGGGGGGCCATCTGGCCGACGGAGGCCCCACTAGGTGACAACATGTCTCTTATTCTCCTGAGTATGTGGATCCCGGAGTCCAGGCCCATATACTCCATCACTAAGGTACGTCACCTATGCCACATCATTCGCTAGTCATTTCATATAATCGAATTTGGATTTATTTTACGTAGTATAAAAACTACTACTATAGCGGGAGTTGAACTAATAACCTTTCAACTTTGTATTTAGGGATGGACCCAGGCCCGGACGGGCTTTTTTTGGAAACATGGGCCCAGAACCGGCCCGAGATGATACCGGGTCCGGTCCGAGTCGGGCCTACCCGGCCGGGTAGTGGGCTGGGTCGGGCCGGGCCCGGGCTATTTAATTTTTTTTTGTAAAAATATTAAATTAAGATTACCTGTACATAAAAAAGTTAAAATATATTTATTTGAAATGTGTAGTACAATTGAAATTGAGCAAAAATTAAAACATGAAATACACTTTTTATTAAATAAGAATCAATCGGAATTTCCGCCATCTTCGGTTTTTTCTTCCATAAAGTGGAGAGTGGGTTCAATGCTAATTTCTTGAGTTCTATGTTTGGCCTTCAACCAATCGTGGAAGCAAACAAGCGTCTCAAGAGGGTTTGCGGTAGGTTTATAAACATGACTAAAAGTTTGAGTTGCATTATTAAAATACACCAAAGCATTCACAATTTTTTCACAAGTGTCGATATCGGATGGGTTTATAATATAGTTAGCATATTCTTTTAAAAAAGCAAGAAAATGGTTTTTAATTCTAATAAGCACCTTAATTAAGTTATAAGTACTATTCCAACGAATAGACAAATCTTTAGGAAAAGCACAATATTTGACACGTCTTTCTTTCAAATAATTTCTCCATTGCATCTTAAGTTGATTACTAGCCCAAATAAGTTTAATCCCCCCCTTCACCACCTCCATAGCATCTCCCAACAACTCTAGCCCATCCTTTACACATAAATTTAAAATATGACATGCACAACGCTGATGATAAAACCTACCCATCAAAGAAGATGAACCACACAATTCACGCAATCTAGGAATAGCAGCAGTATTATTAGTAGCATTATCAAAACCAATAGCAAACACCTTATTAGTCAAATTATACTCAATTAAATTACGCTCAATGAGAATATAAATATTATCACCGGTGTGTCGATCATTAAATTCACGAAAAGCAAGAACACGTTTATGCATACACTAATCATCATCAATATAATGTGCAGTCACACCCAAATAATATAAATGATGATGAGTATCCTCCCATATATCACTACATATACTAACACGTCCATCAAAGTTTGCGAAAAACGTTTGTAATTTTTGCTTTTCTAAAACATATCGCCTTATAACTTTTTTTTAATTGTTTTGCGACTATAGTTTCAAAATTGAGGATTTAAAGTACCTTGAGCATATTCTTTTAAAGCAAGACTTTCAAAAAAAATAAAAGACAAATTTTCTTCAACAATTAAATGAGACATACCAGTCAAATGTTTGTGATCATCATATCATAGGAGAAATTACCAAAGGGTTGGCCAATTGCAAACCTTGAAATTTGTGTTTGTTTTCCCTTGCCTTTGTCCAATTTTGCATATTCCGCCGGGTGCTTGGCCTTAAGATGCCTCGTGGCGCTTCTGTACCCTCCAGAAATTCCCAAGTTATACTTTTTGTTG